TCTTATAATTTGACCTTGTTTTGGCTCTGTAAGTTTTTTGTCAAGTGGTCAGAGATTTACCTGACTTTAGCATGATGGGAGATTGTACCTACACCACAACGTAGTTGTTGGGCTTCTGTTAGCTCAATCAAAACTAGAATTTTCACAAAATACTCATCTGCTTCTTATATATAAAAGCACCTTAAAAAGAAAAGATTTTGTTATTTTCTCTAATACAATCTAATCTTATTATAACAAAAGGAAAATGAATTTGAAATGTGTGTGTGTGTGTGTATACATGTACAAAATGATTTTAATGTTGGTATGCCAAGATCAAAGATCAGTTTTTGTAGTTAGCCTCATTTTAGTAGGAACTGACAATAGATGTGAAAGGGTTGAAAACAGTGTGGATAATTTGATTGTAATTTAGAGTAATTTTGCAATTGCATGTCAATTTTAATGTTGTATAAGTAGTTGTTTCAATGACTAGTGGATGACAAGGTAATGAGAACAGTTTGTTATATGCAAAGAACATGTTAAAACACAACATTAGTTATAACAATTTATAAAATAATTGTACAAAGTACATCACTTTAGAAATAGCTGGGTTTTTTTTGGGTGATTAAGCAATATCCTTGAAGGAATCTTTGTTACAATCTAAATGTTCAGGTTTATGCCAACCAATATCAGCCTGGCTAATGAAACAGATGTTCAGTTAAGGGTTAAAATAGTGAATGCTCATCAGAAACCTGTATTGTTGATGCTTTCAGGAGAAAGCAATTATTTCTCTTTAAGTTATTATTGAGGGCACATTTTTCTCATCCACTCTGTCCTTTTAATCTTGTCATACAATCTCTTAGATTATTTAGCAGTGTTTTTTCTGTTTCTACCCTTTGTCCATTTTCCATGAATCCTTCTTTCTAGGACATCTTTCATCAAACTCTTTTTGAGCAATATGTCTTATCTGTATCTCTTTATCTTTTCTATAGTTTCACTATAAAGGTCTTATTTTCTTCAATGATCTTGAGCACCACCTCATTATTTATCTCTTCATTCCAGCTAATTTTTGTTTCCCATTCTTTACCAAACTCACATCTCTCTTATTACATTCCCACATTAAAGTTGATCTTTTGGCTCATCTAAGCAGAATGTATATTGTAACTTTCTGTACTTGATAATTATAAAGAAAGATGTTACGTTTTAATGCTATGCCCAGAAGGAATTCACATGCTATGTTTATAGCTAGTGTGGATTATAGAGTTAGTGTAGTATCAAAAAGAAACCTTATTAAGTCTACGATCTTAAATCACATTGTCCATGTTATTAGTTCTTTTGTTGTTTTTCTGTATTTGTAATAAATGTATAACTAGTGTTTTCCATTCTTCTTGAAAGAATGCATTAAAATCTATCAGTTTCTAAAATTTTAACACTTGTATGCATCTAGTCCAGATATTCTAAATTAGATTTATTATTGTGTTCAGAATTCATGAAAACTTTACCATCAACAAAACAATATTACTTAAAAATTTAGAGCTTAATTTGTTTAGATTTATTTAATAAACATACTTTGGTGAATTGTGCTTGAATATGTGTACATGCAACAGATGTGTTCATATCATGGTGAAAGAAGCTTATCATCCTTGGTGTAAAAAAGAAATTATCACTAATCATAGCAAGGCTACGAACGAGAAGAGATTGTTTATTTCTGACTATTTTCTAAAGGGCTGTGTTTTAATTTTTCATAGTAACATGCGTGTTTGCTATGTAGGATGTCATACTCAGCCCTGGTTACCACTACATATTATAAGGGCCTGGTCAGTTCACCTGTATAAAATAAGATAGGCAAGGTGACTCATACAAATGAACAGTCCTTAGGATGCAATTAACTTTATACAAGAAAAATTGATTGGCTGATGTATTTCAACAGGTAAATCATCCAGAATGCTCAAATACTGTTTCTTGAGCAAGTGAATTTGTGGTTCAAATGCTGTGTTAACACAGAAGTTAGTTCTGGCAGACTAAAATAACAAAACTAATAACGTGTTCTTCAAAATTATGATACTATGTCTAAAACTACTTCTTTACCATACTACAAATTGTTTGACCATATAAGACTAGATATACATAATAAATAAATCTTACTAGTCAAGCTAAGTAAGGTCAAATAGCTGTTGCAAATTATTCTCACTTAACAGACTTTTTAATAAACTTATTAAAACATTCACATCATTAAAACAGATCACTTAATACCATTTTATTTTTGAAAAAAAATGTAATAAGCTTATTATTTTGACATTTTTATTTATTTCATAACTTTAACATTTTCAAAATCAGGGTAAATAATACAAACATTTTTAACTTCATTTAAAGGTTCTGAACTTTTTATGAAACTTGGAATGAATTGTTAAGTAAAGAATATTTGTTTCTGAATCTGTATGGATAATTTAAGAGTTAATTTTGAGAAATTTTCAAGTGATCCAAGATATTGGATTAATTCAATGTTATCAGCTGCTGACCCAATGACTTGATCAAGTTAATTCCAGGCTTGCAGACTCATTGTAACTTTATATTATTTTTTTTTGTAGCAGGGTTTGAATTTGTGAGTCCAAGAGTCATAGCTCAGGACACACACTCACAAATTTATGATAGTCTGAAGTCCAAAAAAAACTCTTTTAAAGTTTAGAAAAATATTTGCTGTCACCATCAATATTTGTAATGTTTTGACCTACTTTATGTTTTCCAAGACCATCAATATAATAAAGTAAGATGCACCATAATGTAATAACAGCTGACTCATTCAGTTTTCTCTCTCTCCTTTTTTTTTGTATTATTCTGAGCCGTTTAGCAATGCTTGCAGTGGCATTGCTAGTTACTGGCACATGGGGCTCACACCCGGATTCTATTTGACAGTACCCCAAATCTCCAGTTGGTATATTGAAAAATCAGAATAGAAAACCATGATCGATATCATACTGAAACACTGAAAATTCCCAAGCCCTGAATCTTTTAAGTACCTAGTGATGCCTCTGCATGCTTGTATGGTCATTGCCGTAATGCATTTAGCATGATATTAAGTCTTTTAGTGTAGAATGTCTGAGCTAATGAAGCGGATAATGCAATGCATATTCTAAGACTGATAATATTTTAAGTCACCAAACTTGACATGCTATTTATATCAGTTATTTATGAGATATCAGTTCTAATGATGTAGATGCCTTAGCTGGTGAAACATGATGTTTTAGTAGGCAACATTTAGATTATTACATCACGGTATGACTGATAATACTGAGAAATGTTGGTTCTGGACTTAATCTGACCTGGATGTCAGTTGTACATAAATGAAATAACTAAACACAGTATGAAGCTAGCAAGAATTGATTGCTAAAATTTCTTTTATTGGAACTCATATTCTGAAATAGAAAATGTATATAATTTTGTTAAATTGATTATATGTTGTATGATATTAATGTCAATAGAACTGAATAAAACAAACTATTCATGATGGGAAAACCAAACTTTCTTAATATCCTTGTATTTTTATATCTTGTAATGAGGCTTATTTATAACATTTATAAAAAATTTTTGCCGTATCTGAAAATGTTTTTATTTTTGCTTAACAGTTGTTGATAATATATAAGTTTTGTAAATTAATAGAATGCTAATAAAAAGTACTAATATTTTGAAGGTTCCTGAATATAAAGAAATCAGGAGTTTGATGGACTTAAATATGGTTTGCACAGTTTCTGGGATTCCTGGAAGCTCCCAAGCCAATTTTATACCTATAAATCCCTGTAAATGCATGAAAAATGACATTTTTGAAAATTATTCCTTGAAACTCTTGGAAGTTATAATAAAAAGTAAATTGAAAAATTAATTCAAATATAAAATGTATGTATCCTTCAGATTTGTACGAGTCCATTAATCTATAGTTGGGGAGATTAAAAAGTTGACAAGCAGATCCAGTTGCATATGCTCATCTTCTGTCATTTGTATCACAAATGGTGCTCTCCATATTAATCATAAAATGCCTGTTTTTTAATGAACAATGATTATGCAAAGTGGAGTATACTAATTTGCCATATGAAAAACATCAAGATCTTAATATGCCATAAAAATGAACATGAAAGATTTTTTCACAGTTAATGGTGAAAAGGTCATGGAGCTTCAACTGTTATGTTGAGGAAAGGTTAACGAAAGTCTGCCAGTGATGATGATCTTAAGCTTCGTATATTGTATCAACATTTGCTAGAACAACTTCATGTACATTCATGGGCTGTGCAGTACCAGAGAATATATTAGATCATTCTGAAATAAGCTGAGAGCCTTAACTCATCTAAATATCTACAGATATTCATGGATGACTCACATGTAAATTGAAAATTTCAATTTTTGATTCAACAGAAATTAAAAGATACCTTGTCTGGTACTGTAGTTAGTGTTGGCTTACACAAAAAAATCAGAAGTATCTGGCTGGGCAGTACTGAAACTTCTTGCAATAATATTTCATGTTTAAAGTTGCTCCAGCACAAAGAAAAGACTTATTCAAGACAAAAGGACCTAAACTTTACCTTATGAAATTTTGTAGCTTGAAAATATTGCTATAGCAATGTTTTCAAGCCCTGCAATAAAGGTATTGCCTCATATAATTATACATCTTATGATTTTGTGAAAACATACAGAAGTAATGCTTTATTTCTGACCAAGATCTCTTGTTTCCTTTTTGTGGGCCAAAGAAGTGGCATGACTTCTTAAGGTACACCAGACAGACATGTGCTGTGTTTTCTCTTTGATGACCTATTCATAATGCCAAATAATATCCAGAAATAGTTTATTAAGGCAGATTTCTTAAAGAAGTTCACTTCTGCTTACAGTGAGTTAATTATATTACATCAAAATAAATATAAAAATTCTGTATGGTTATTTTAGTCATTTTATGATATATTGAAAACTTTCTACAGAAAAACTTAAGGATATTCCACTTCAACTTTATGTGTTTGGTAAAAGTTCCATATTTTCTTTAGGCTCTTAAACAGTACACTTTGACTAGCACAGTAGACCTTCAGTGCCAAGTATTAGATCTGTTGGCTCAGCTTGTACAACTACGGGTCAACTATTGCTTATTAGATTCTGATCAGATCTTCATCAACTTCATTATAAAACAATTTGAATTCATTGAAGAGGGACAGATAGTGTAAGTATATTTTTATCTTCTTTATTTGAACTAGTATATACTTTGAAAAATTGTTTGGCATTTGTAATGTTTTGGAATTTATTTCTCATACCTCTCTTTAAAGGAGGGAAATTGTGATATGTGATTTAAAGGTGTTTGCAGCATTGGAATATATTTTTTTATTTGTGTGACTTAATAAGAGGCTAAATATTTGTGAAGGTTTGGTTTGTGCAAAGCAGCATTAATTGGAAACATGCTTTTGTACCTAAATTACATGATCCTCACAGACTGAATTTTTTATAGTGTAAGATACATAAATTTTGTTGATGTCATAATATACTTGTGTCATTTGCTTAATCCATTCAGTGCAGCTGGGACATATATTTCCCAATGCAGTGGAAAATATCACAGCTGCAGTGAAAGGGTTAAAAGAAGTATATGTAAGCCATTGAAATTTTATAACATGCAAATATTGTACTTTTTAATTATATTTTTCAGAGCTATTGTTTCACACACTTTTCCCCAAAAATTGTAAAACTTCATTAGTATATTTTTCAAGTAATACTATATGAGGATTCACAATAATCCTCCTGAATATGCATGGATTGTGTTTTGTTAACACTTCTTTTCCAAATGTAACGAAATAGTTGCAACACTCACGTGATTGTATGTGCTTCATATACATAGTTGTAGTAATATATCTTTTCTGTTTTTAATTACTTTTGCTATGAGAAAAACTACAACTGTAATAGGATGTATTATTTTTTAATATGTATTAGTTTCCAGTATTGATGTATGATAGGGAATGATTATATGTATTATTATGTGGTAGGAATTTGTTATATAATACAGTAGAGTAGCTTTTTATGATTTGTTCCATTTTTGTTTTCCAGAAACGCGGATGTCTTAATCCCTCGAATTTTCTACTTTTTGGTATTGCTATCTTATGAGAGATATCATTCCAAGTCAATCATAACTGTACCAAAGATCATTCAGCTGTGTGATGGACTGATGGCCAGTGGCCAGCCTCCTGATAAATATGGTGGGTAGGCATATTATTTGTGACAATTTGAAAATTCTATATGAGGATTTTTCTTCTAGATATTTGCAGTTGTATACGTGCATTGTTTAGAAAAAATTAAGAAATATTGTACACTTTACTATATCTATTAAAATTGTTCATCCTAGTGTTTTAGTCGTTTAACTTTGAGACCCAGATCTGTCAGCTCAAGACACCTGTTACATTCTCCGTCACACCAAACATGCTCAACC